AAAGGTAGCACTGATACGTTTTGATTGGGGGTTATGTTATCTCTCATTATATCTCAAAAAAGTTTGAGCTGTGATACGAGAGGTTAAGGATTGCTCATTCTAAAACATTAATTTGTGCTAGATCGTGCTGGTTGTGTCATTAATAGTTCATGATAATGTAATTGAGCCATCTTGGCAGACATTTATGAAGTGGCACGGGGAGATTCTGGATGCAGCTGACTGTGCTTTCTTTCTTTTCTCTCAGGGTCTTTACCAGGGAGGCTTTGGCTACCACTTGGCTATTTCTGGCAAGTCCTTTGCTGCACTCTGTGAATACTTCCCTGAATGTCTGCCAAAGGTAATAAAAAAAAAAAAAAATCTGCAGAAATATTCTGAAAATGGACCATGAGAACTCATCATTGACGCATGCATAAAGCAACAATGGGGCAGTGGGAGTAGTGTCAGAGAAAATGATTAAACTGCATTATACTGAGAATACAACAGGCTGTATTTCAAGAACATTTGCCTCCTTAAATCTTTTTTTCCTTTTTTTTTTTTTTTTTTAAATGCTGTCTTTGCAGGTTTTGTTGCGAACCACAGTATTTGCCCGCATGACTCCTGACCAGAAAACCCAGCTGGTGAAAGAGCTGCAGAAGCTTAAGTGAGTTCAGGCACAAAAGGGGAAGAATGGGAAACACCAAATTATGAAGGAACAGAAAAAAATGAGGAATAAACTGAGATCAACAACGAATGAATCACAAGGACTTGTCACGACTTTATAAACATGCCGTTCTATTTTTATGTGAAATATGAGTAAGAGGATAAATAGAAAAATTAAGAAGCCATAAGTGAGAACGTTGAATTTAAATACATGTAAACAAATAAACTGCTAATTCTAGTTATGAAGAGAGAAATGGATTATATGTTTGATGTAAAGTGTCTGAATGTCTGAAGGAATAAGGTTGAGTGTTAAGTTAAGTTTTCTAAAACGACATCTAGTGGCCATAGGAGGAGTTGCAGTTTAGAGCACATTTATGTCTTTTTTTCTTTTACCTAAGCTAAAATAAGACAGGTCATAAAACATATTGTTTCATTACAGCTATTGCGTTGGCATGTGTGGGGACGGGGCCAACGACTGTGGGGCCCTAAGAGCTGCTGACATCGGGGTTTCTCTGTCTGAGGCCGAGGCTTCAGTGGCGTCCCCTTTCACCTCTAAGACTAAAAACATCAGCTGTGTGCCGCTGCTTATCAGGTGAGGAAAAGAGAGGTCTTAAAAGTGATGAAGTAAGAAGGATGCTGTTTGTTGGAGTAGTAGGTCAAGGGGAAGAAATGGCAACATGATTTTTCCTCCGTGTTTGTGCAGAGAGGGCCGGTGTTCCCTGGTGACCTCCTTCAGCCTCTTCAGATACATGGCTCTGTACAGCATCGTTCAGTTTTCCTCCATCCTCATCCTCTACACGGTGAGCACCAGTGGAGCTTATCATATCCTAACGTTCAAAGTAACCATTTGTCTCTGACTCATCAGCTTTAACATCCTTTTATTTAGAGTTCAATCCAGGCTTTCTTTTTTAGTCCGTTTTATTGGAGCCTGTTACGCCCCACCCTAAGGCAACCATATGTACAAACCACAAATACACCCTTTAAAACACATCGTACACCTTACCAAAGTCAAAACAAAGGGGATTTATTATTGACAGACAAACAAAATCATTAAACGAAGATCAACTCAAATGCTTATTTAACTAAACTCAACAAGAGGAAAATACTTATCTCATATGATACAAAATACAGGATTACATTTTTTCTGAATTATTGAAACAACTCAGAGTGAATCAAAATTCTTCCTTTTGTGCGTGTTCAGATGAATACGAGCATGTCCGACCTGCAGTTCCTGTTCTGTGACATCTTTGTGGTGACTCTGCTGGCCTTCGTGATGGGAAAAGGAGGTCCCAGTAGAGAGCTGCACCCCCGCAGACCCCCGGCCAGTCTGCTGGGTCTGCCTGTCCTGGGCAGCCTGTTCATCCACAGCTGTATGAGCGTCCTGGGCCAGCTGGCTGCGCTCTTCATCACCGCCTCACAGGACTGGTCAGTCACAGAGGGTTGCTTTTATTTACTTGGGCTTGCTATGATGATGAGTTGTAAAAGATTCAATTAATCACCAGCTATCTGAGGAATTGATAAATTGGTTTCATTAAATTAAAGATAATCCCTCAAATTGAAACATTTTCTGGTTTCTGTACTCTATTGCTGTAAGCTGATATCTTTCAGTTCTGGGCAAAACAAAATTTCAACCCTTTCATTGACGTAACAGGTACTTGATCAATGGAGTTCATCATAGATGACCATGAGAATCCTCTTTAGTAGCTGATTTTTATTTGTGTCATTCATACTAAATAAAATCCTTCATCTCAGATTCAGAGAAAGACCGGGAACCTTCATGCTCTGTTGTTTTTTTTTTTCTTTAGGTACGTTCCACTCAATTCAACTGTTTTTGGAACAGAAAATCTGCCCAACATGGAGGACACCAGCTTGTTTGCTGTGTCAGGTTTCCAGTACATCATCATGGCTGTGGTGGTCACAAAGGGATACCCTCACAAGAAACCTCTCTATCACAACGGTGAGGCTTTAGAAGAAACACTCGATCACTGATTTATGTCATCAGCTTTATACGTATATGTACAACCTTTTATTAAACGTTATTCTCTTCTTTCCAGTGCTTTTCCTCTGCTTACTGATTGTTCTCTTTGCCCTGATGACTTGGCTGGTCGTGTACCCGGGGGCTTGGGTTTGCCGAGAACTTCAACTGTACGACTTTTCAGACATGGATTTCAAACTGCTGCTCGTTGCCGTGGCTGCGCTCAACTTCCTCATTTGTTTTGTTGCAGAGGTGAGTGATGAGTTTAGATAACATCAATACCTTTGAAGACTACTGTTACTCTGCAGGAATGTGAAAAAAACACAGCCGGCTCCATTCCTTACTACAGCACCAATCAAAAGACACAAATGACAGTCTGTGGATAAAGCTAATGTTGGGACTCTACACGATGCTTTCAATTTACATTTTTATCTCTTTGAAGATCTGGAAAGATGGTTTCTGCCTTTGTAATATTATCCTTCATGAACAAGAGAAACACCTCTGGTTATCTTTACTTCCCGAAGGCTTCAATGGAGTTATGTGTTCATAACGGTAGATAAAATAAAAAAGTCAAAAATCCCTAAAAAATGTCAATGCCTTCTTGAGCGCCCGACCTCAGAGAGACACATCATTAAACTCATCGCCAGCAAAACCATTGTTTTCCTACGCTAAAGCCCGCTTGATGTACGCTCTTCTTTACAGCTGTGCAATGCATTTTCTAGCAACTTTTGGGCGTCCTTTAAAGTCTAAAGTTGGCAGAAATTAAACTTTTCAACTCAAGACACAGTGTCGCAGTGCTTGTCAATGTCACTTTCGGCCGAAGCTGCAAATCAAATCAAGTAGGAGGATTAACCTCCGCTTTTTTATGACATTTTCCCTCTTCTTGTTTGGGATCAAAGCAACGGAGAGAGCTCTACTTTTGCTCGAATCCATTTTTTCCCACTTACTTTATTGGGTCGCCCGTATGTGCACACAGCCCTGCTCCACATGTATTTCTCATTTACTATGTTCTTATAGTAAACATGTTTTGGATGTGAAACTTGAACTGGGATGGCACATGTGTGGGTAAATACCTGGATGCTGCAGTATGTGTTTCCACCTGCGAGGTGAATAAAGTTTTGGAACTGAGTAAACATCGTGTTTATTACAGTCAACACACAGGTGCTCCCAGCCGTTGTTCCCCCAGATGCTGACGCCCAGCACAACCTCTCTCCGTTTGATCTGGCCTTTTTACACAGAATACTTTGATGTGAAAGTGCTTCTCAAGCCTGGGCACTAAAGCTATTTTAATTGTTTTCTTTGTAATAGCCAAAACTCATGTACAGTATATGAACAGCTATCTAATTTTGCAGGGATGATCTTCTCCACATTTTATGTCCACTTCATTTCTAAACATCAATTTGGAATAGCAAACTCAAATGTGGACATTCACACAGATATGGTTTCTTTTAAGGAGCATTTTTATGTTTTTGTTTTTTTCCACTAGGCGCTGATAGACCTGGGTATGCTGAACTGTCTCCGGTTGCTGCGTGGAAAGCGCCAATCCAAGAAACAGTATAAACGTCTGAATGCTCTTTTGGCTAACTCTCCGTCATGGCCGCCTCTCAATCAAGCCCTGTCGCCCACAAATCAGACTGTGATCTTCCTTAGCTAGTGTCTGCTTCCCCCTCCCCCCCTCCCAGTCGGACACTGTCAAACAAACCAAACGATGCTGTTGATGTCTGAATGACAGCTCAACCCAACCAACAATGCAGAATCCTGTTTACATGTGAATAAAACTATTTTATTAAGATTACTGACTGGGATTGTCAATTAACATTTTTATTAAGTTGTGGTGTGATTTCATAGTGTCTGTGGGATTTTAAAGGCACACTAAATTGTCATGTTTGCACGCCATTGCAGAGTCCCATCTTCTCCCACACTGAGAAGGGTTCTGTTTGGGTTCAAGCTTTGAGAATGAATGAAAATATGCAGCAGAAACCAAATTCTTCAGAAATTTAACTTAACTGGTCACTCAAAGTTTGACAGATTAAATGTGTATTTGATACGTTTTTCACAGAATTATGTTCTTAATGAGTTCAATGCATTAATTTAAGCTTCTTGGGCTTAAGAAATTAACATCAGAAATTCACTTTTTTTGTAAATCATTTTATTAAATCAGTATTTACAGGCAGTTTGTGTTTCCACTCAGAGCTCAGCTTAACATATCTCTCTCCTGCTGCTAGATTACCTGAACTAAAATCTCTTGAAAAGTATTTTGCATCCTCCCTAAGATATACTCAGCTTCTTGAACTACAGTAATAAAAAAATAACCAGGAAGTTAAAGATGTGATACAGGAGGCACAAGCTGAATTTAACCATTACAAGAACCTTTGTACTCATGATGTGCACCACTGAATATGGCTTTATTTAGAGCTCTTCTCTGGACAAATGAAAAAGGTGAACAACTTAAGTAATAAGTTTTGGGCACATTGGCTCTGGTCGGCCAGATAGTCGCATATACAGCTGTGTCTCCATGTTCCACTTCAGCAGCGGACCAACCGTTTGGACTTTCTTGCAACAGCAACATGCCAACAGTCAAACACAAATATAAAAAACTGGCATTCATTCATCGTGGGATATCTTCAGTTACATTTCACTGCACACTCTGAATAGCACTGTTTAAAACAAAGTGCCGACCCGAGGTTTAATACATTTTCTGTTTGAGCGGCAAACTGTCTGGAGAAAATACAATCCTTGTTCATTTCATTCATTCAGTCTTGCCGTCCTTTGCACCCGAGCTGCTACGCACAGAGCGTCGGGGAAGGACACAAAGAGACGAGCACACCTGCTGACAACGTGGAGATATGATGAAGAGGCTTGTGGAGTACAGCAGTCCAATCATCCCCCCCGACTGACCTTCCCGTGACTTTCTGCCAACCACCACCTTCTCATAATGACATCTTCATTAACTGATGTATATACACATGGGTCGATTTTAAAAAGGGGATTTTGGTTTGTTTTCTATTAAAATACTGCTCTGACATCGCTGCCAATCTCGTACAAAAGGCAGAAAAGCTACGTAAAAATTGAATTACATCTCCAATCTCATTTTTCCTCTCCCTTTAGTTTTAAATAGAAATAATAATGTGACAGTCCAAGGAAGACAGCCATAAAAGCTCAATCAAAAAAAACAAAAACAAAAACATTAACAGAACACATCGGATAAAAAAAAAAAAAAAAAAAAAACAACCTCGACAAACATTCCCCATACCCTCGGATTATAAAACAAATGACAATTTATATATTAGGGATGTCCTGATAACGCCTACAGCTCTGTAATTAGGCAGGTAATAGTGATGCACTCAGAATAAGAGGTGAGATGACTGCAGCCCAATGTGAATGTTTTCTCAGGAGAGGTTAAAACTCTGCTTTTTGAGACTACTTAACCACCAAACAAATAAAACTGCAGCTGTTGGGTGTTTGTTTTGTATCCTGAATACTGTGGTACTGATATAACATGTTACTAGTGGTGTCTGTGTGATATGATGTACTTCTGTAGATATCAGAGTATCCCTAATATATTTCAATAAAGACAAGCGAGAAAAACAAAAGATAAAAACTTAGTCAGCCGGCGCTTGAAAACCTAAAAACATATGAAGAGGGGTGAGAAGTGATGCCTTGTATTATTGCTGAGGAGATGCTGCTGCCGAAAAGTACCAGCTCATCTCATTTTGCTATGGCCCAAAATTCCTCGTCCTCTCTTTGCCCTCCTTTTTTAAGTCTTTGCTTCAGCCTCATGGGAATCCTGAAACGCGGCTGGGCACTGAAGGAGGAGAGAGGTGAAGGTGAGGGGCCGCCGCTTAAAGGGATCATCACAGTGAGTCCAGAAGAAGTTCATAATCACAGTGTCAAACCGACAGGAGGAGTGGGGAGAGAGGGCAGCACATTTCCATTTGACTTCCCCCCCAGAGTTCCTCGCTCCCTCAAAGTCCCACATGACTGCTAGTTTAAGGAGGAAGTTTTTTTTAAGACACAAGTGCTGTCTTTGCTCTCAGGTGGGCCTCGATCTCGCTCCCCTTAATGGCTGGGTGGCTCCAGGGCCCTACTTATCTGTGCTGTCGGAACCCCTGGGTGCCGTCTGGGCCAAGTGGCTGCCCGACAGTGTTATTGTTTGATCTGGTGTCCTCTGAAGGCAGTGTGGAGTTATTGCGGCCTGACCTGACAGAAAGGAAGGAAACAAGAAAAATACATTAAAGAGATGAATCTTTATTACAGGATCCCTGTAGTCTCATGACACATAGGGATCCATGCATGATTGTGGAACGTGTTTTCATTCTGGTTTTGGGAGCACACTGCCGTTTTCAGTCAATGAACTTAAAATGTAAACAAGAACCAGTCAATCAAGTTATGCAAAATTGCATCATGGAGCTTTCTTTTATTCCCCAGCTCCACCTCCTGCCAATCAAAACCACATCAAGCCAAAAGAAAGACAAAAACAATGGGCCTCTGCCAGCTGTAGTCTGACAAATGAAAAACAAAAGGCTACAGGCCAAGAGGAGAGCTCAACAAGGCGTCTGACTATTTATCTCAGTTTCAGCCAAAACACATTTCCTTTTATAAGGTGACCATTGCCAATTGTCTGATTGAAAGCATGTGTTTAATCCATTATGTCTAGTACATATTGGGGCTCGATAATTAACTGGAATATAATGAATATCACAATGCAGCTGGGAGTACCGTTCAAATCCCAGAAGATTTATCTTTTTATAAAGGTTAGAGTTTCTCAAACAGAATATCATGTTCTTTTGACTCCAAAAACTATAGAGGCTGTAGTCTTTGAAGCAGGTGGCCTGGGTTCAAATACGACCTGTTGCCCCTTTTTCTATGTCACTCCCCACTCTCTCTGTCTCTGATTTCAAACTCTTTCCACTGTCCTATCTCTTCAATAAAGGTATTAAAAGCCCACCAAAAAAACATGAAAAACTAAAAACACAAATTGTGATGCAACAGTGTTTGTACTTGTATTAAACCCCTATCTTATGATTTAGTTTTAGATTTAAAGATGGTGCAGTGCTTTAATCATATTGACACTCCCAAACGTCTTAATTTCCCACTGCTATGCGAGCGTTCAGACTTTAAAAAAAAAAAAAAAGGCTTACTCCATTACTGCCTTCCTCTCTCAGTTGTGTACATAGTTGATGAAAAGTAAAACAAAGTTTTCAGCACAAGGTGGAGTTAATAAACTGTAAGTGCCCTGCAGCAAGGTCTTATTAGGCTGTGAGCGAAACATCTGAATTGTCAATATTTGTGGATAATTACCTGTCAGTGTTGGGTTTGTCCTGAGGCGTCTCTTCCGGGCAGGCGCTGCCCAGTATTCTCTTCCTGGCCTCAGCGTACTCTGCCTCCCGCTGGGCCAGAGACTTGACCTGTGGTGTGGGCCTGTTCTGATTCAGAGAGGATCCCAGCGAGCCGTTATTCACGGGCCTCTTCAAAATACGGATCTGAGGTGGGGGAGCTGCTGGCAGAGAGTCATCCTGTATCACCATGGTGGTCTTCAATGGGGTCCTTGGAGCATTATTGCTGGACTCCCTAGAAGCAGACCAAAAACAAAATCAGTGATTTAACAGACAGGAGGGAGCTGTTACAGAGGCTGCAAACCAGCAAAGTGCTATACTATGTAAAATGTTAAGACAATTACCAAATTGTTGGAAAACACTCTTCAGCTCAGCTTACATATAAAAATATAATTTAATTCAATTAATAAAATTAAGTGCATTGAACCATTGACCCTGGAGAAGATTCTGTATATTGGTGAACTTGAGAGTTGCTCTTATTTCTTTCAAAGAGTCTTGTGTTGTGTTTAAGTTTGTGAAACTGAAGCATCATTTTATAAATTCATAAATGACTCTAAGACCTTTGAGGGTCTTACCGTTCTTTTTGGCTGATCCTTAGTTTCTCTTCCAACCGTTTTTCCATTTCCTGCAGAAAAAAAAAAGAGACTAAATATGAATTCATGTAAAAACAAACAACATGGGGTGGGAAAAAGAGTGTTGCAGGTAGAAGAAGCAAGCAGAGAGGATGGAAAGCTTGGATTCAGTTACAAGCTATTTATACATGTGCAGGACAGCTGCCAAGTCATAACAGACAGAGTGCTCATCAAGCTAACATTACCCGGACGGAGCTGCCAGTGAAAGTTACTAATGCAGGTTGATTTAAAAATAAAGAAAACTGTTTTGATAGACAAACCAGAGGAAATTAAACATATGTCACTTCAAACTGACCAGCTGCCAACGTCCCAAGTCGGGGGGTTCCCAAACTTAACCTTGTATAGTCCCCCTTTAGCCTCTGCCGGGGACCCCCCATTGCAAGGTTTCTTAAATTCCTTGTACATTGAGAGGAATTTTTAAAGTTTTAAATAGGTGTTGTTTAGATGTTTTTTTATGTTCTCTTGGTGTGTCCAATTATTAAATTGAAAGATTTTAATAAAAGTAGTGATCAGTAACATCTAAAAAGACATGAATCAATATGTTGTTGTAGTAAAAGTAAAAGAAAAAAAACATACTTGTCACAAATAATGTTTTTGTTGATTTATATATACGATCCATTTTCTCCCCTGTTCCCTCCAAGTTTCGGTGACCCCCCCCCCCCTTTAGTGCTTCCGTGCGACCCCCCCACTTTAAAAAACACTGTCCACTCAGAAACACGTTCTTGACGTCATAAGGTGATGAAACGACAGCTAAATGTTAGCCAGGTGTTTTTAAACTTGCAGAATCTGGAGAAACACGTCTCTCTTTGCCCAACAACTTGTTGACAACATGGCCGAGATGATTGCCTAACATCAGCTCATCATGTAAACTACAGGAAATCACTTCATCTAGATGACGTGTGGCCAAACTCAATCAAACTCAAAGGGGAAAATATGCTTCATTAATCACACTCTGACACTAACTTTTAGGTACACACGTTTAATAAAGTCATATTTATCATTTTTGATCTCGTAAACTGGTTCATAAAGGTCTCAGATCGTTTCTTCAACAGTTTTAAATTATTTTAAAAACATGATGTTATGTTATTAATATAAAGGATGTTGTATTAAAAATGATCTTACGTCGTTAAAATAAATGTGCGTAACCAACAAAAAATATCCACTGACACATTTACCATGTTAGCCATGCAATAAATAGCTAGCTTAGCATTAGCTAACGTCAACCTGAGCTCTTCAACATGAACTCTTCATTGTCTTACACCGTTTTACCGTAAACTGGTCCAACATCATGACCAGAGAGTTACTAAGAGTTCAAGCTGTGTCTGAATTAAATAAAGAAAGGCCACTTGAATAGTTAAGTCCATGTTGAGCTCGTCTCGTTGGCTACTTGACGTTAGCTCGTTAGTTTCGTGAAGCTAACGCTTTAGCCACATTGTTGGCCCGTGTGAGTCAAAATCATGAAACAACGCTTTTAAAACTTCTTAAAGCCACGATGTAAAGCCAGTGAAGCTACCAGAATAACAATGCTCGTTAACTACAGGTATACTGAGCTTTAAATGCTTACCCCACTGTCAGCAGCTTCCTCCCAACTTTCGGAGACCTCATCCATGTTTCATTTTGCTCAGACACGCTGTGGCGTTAGCTGAGCCCCTTCTCTGACGTCACACTGTGCTCATTCTCTGACGTCACACTGACGGATTTCCCCAAAGCATACCCCCCGTCTCACAGCTGACTTGAGCAAGGAGCAGAATCAGAATCAGCTTTATTGATTCAAATATCTTTTACTGAGCAGTTAAATCGGACATTCATTCAACAATATATTTCAGACTCGTTTTTATAGTTATTACAATTGTGCATGTAACCCGGATGTTATTTGAAGCTCAGATATATTGATAGGCACAGAGGTAATATTTAAATAAGGTAGTTAAGAAATAAAGTGCAATACCATGCAATGTAAAGAACAGAGAAACAAACAGAGTACAAATAATACTAAAATAAAAAATAAAAAACCCACCCACCCAACCCTTACCCCCCACGACCCTAGACCCACAGCTTTATTGTATGGTGCCGGGTCCTTTTACAAATGTGTTTTGGATTTCACATGTGGCTATAGATATTAACTAAAGAAACAAATGATATCTTGTGACCAAAATGTAACTACAAACACTCTGAAACATTACCAAACATGACAAAACCCTTTGGACAAAAGCAGCACAATAATCCTTTTTAATCTTGTTTTCATGATTGTCAGAAGACTACATTTAAATCTAAATTGAAACTTGATTGATTGCACAGCCCTGGTGGTTTTTATTTGGCATTATTAAGACATTGTATGTAGATTGATGTCAGATGAGGAGGGCAACAATATTTACAAGAGTAAGTAAGTGGTCATTTAAAATGTTCTTTATTAATCTTTTTTTCACTCTGTTGTTGAGACATGCTACACACATGTACCCATAGGCTCAAATACATACACAAGCATAAACAGGACCCTTTGGACGTGCATTAATTGAGCGATGTAAGAGTGAGGGGGGCTGGACATTGATGAGTGCCCCGAGCATTTGGGGGTCAGTGCCTTGCTCACGGGCACGCAGGCAGTACTCAGGCATCTCTTCAGCTGTCAGCCCAATTTCTAGACTTAGTCAGTAACTTAAACTGGGTCCTCTGATGCTCAAGTCCCTACAGAGTGAGCTACCGCCGCCCTATACTTTAAAAGGTATCTTGAAATGTTCTGCATGTTTTGTTTTCAGTATGTTGCTTACAATATCATTCAGTTAAAGTACAATGTTACTTTTAGAACTCCTCACTTGAGGTGTAATTTTTTCCTCTTTTAAAGTCAGTCCACTTTCAGTTCATGTTTGCATCAGGACAGTTTTATTAGGAAATCATTATAAAATCAACATTTACAAAGTTTACATCATCATAAACGACACTGATGACAGACAGACAACTACGGCCAACAGGAAGACTTGACATGTAGTCCTTGTGTTTTATACATAATCTTGCAGTTCTTTTTGCTCCTCTTTGGGCTCCACAATCAGCACCTGTGGACGTAGTATCCCGTCACGTATCCTATGATGTAAATGGACACCAGTGCAGCCAAAGCTCCTGCCACCTTTATTGCTAATCCAGTGCTGCCGACACACACTCTGTTGTGGATCCTGTCGGTGTTACATAGAAGAGGAAGAGCAGGTTACAATTTTATGACCAATTTTTTTAAACCCCATCAAACACATCTTATTATAGTCCATTCATGACCCATTGTATAGTGTTACCAACTATTTTTACAACTGTATAACTCTGCTCTATTTGTTCTTTTATAGAATTTAAAAAAAACATCTCATTCCTATGAACATATATATTTGACTCTAACATCTTAATAACAGTCATCACATAGTCTCACCTCATCACAGTTGACTGTGACGCCTCTACGTTCATGTTGATGTTGTCTTCGTTCCAGCGATTATATTGAACGTTGCCTGCACCGTTGGAGTCCATGTCGAAGCTTTTTTTTTTCTTCTCCACAGAGGTAAATCACTGTTCAGTTACTGCTCAGCTGCCCAACCTGGACACATAAACTCAGAGGATAAAGACTTTTATATGTGTGACTGGATCACAAGTGACCATACAGCCTTTTACGGTATTAAGACAATAGTTGCAAAAATTAGATAATCCAGATTCCAGAGTTCAAAATAGAATCAGTGGGAGTAGAAATCAAGACAAAGAAATGTTTTAATTCTGTTGATGACTTTGTTTAAACAGCCTTAATAACTTTTAAGTATCATAATGTTGTTGAGTGTCACTAAATACATTTAAGCGAATACAGTATGCCTTTAAAAGAAGATCAAATCATGTCAATCAAGCAGTTGTGTAGTTTTACCAGCCAAGAACAAAAACCAAAATCAGATGGTTAATTTAATGATTGTCACCTTATATCAGATAAACGTTTAGTGCTCACCTGTTGGAGTCTTAAACAGTCAACAACCTGCTCTGCTTCCAAGCGTCTTCAGACCCACACTGAGACTGAGGGAGTCAAGCTTACTGCTTATGAGACCATGGTCAGAGTTCATGTGTTCCTTCAGGTATGCCATAAATCCATTGGTTGAATTCCAGGATTTGCCTTTCACCTCCTTGCATCACCTTATCGTGCTTAGAGATAAGAAGCAAATTAGGCCCTGTGGTTTTTTTTTTTGTCACAGGTTTCATCACATCCTGGCCCTTTCCGAGTAGCCACAGGTCAGTAGGCAGTACGTACTATTCGGGTTTTATGCAGTATGGATCGGATGCGTGCTTTCAGGAAATGAATTGTATTTTACCACCCACAATGCTGTGCGAAATTAAACGTAAATCGTCACGCCCGACTCCAAATCAAAACCGAGCGTGGATTAATTGAATCAATTTTTAATCTAGAGTTAAAGTCTCGACTGAAATCACTACTTTTAATTAACAACAGAAAATATAACAAATGTCTGCATTATTATAAAACCTTTCTCCCTCTATTTAAATAATGATTTCACTATTTAAATGCATCTTTATTGGTTTATTTTACTTTGTATTCTGTATATTACTGTCTTTCATTTCTACTTTTCTTTATGTAGGGTACTGTATGTTATTTAGTTATTTAATCTGTCTTTTACTTGATTTACATTGTCATATTGTTTTTTTTTTTTACCTGACTGTATATGCGCATTACTCTTCTTGAATAAAGCTAAACAAAAAACTGACAGATTGAGTAGGTACTTGGCAATTCGGATACAGCCCCTGTGTAGACTTTGGTTCGACTGTGTTGTAGCATTCACTGGACATCACAATGATGGTGACATTTTCCCTTCAACACCACACCAGGGGAAATAGTTGGAGAGGGTTAAGGGCCCTCTGATTACCAGAAGAAACAAGTAGGATAGGAACTTTATAGTCATTGTATGCTAAAATACAACAAAACTTTTTAGACAGCAGTCCTGTACAGCAGCAGGATAAATCTGATAAAAAAAAGTGAAAAAAAACAACATTTAGGCTAATAAAAAGATTTGTAATTATTTATTTAAACTATAGCCTATGATAGGGTCCAGATGGTTGATGAGCCTGATTCATTACACTATGGGTCTGTCTTATTGTCTGTATAGAAAGATTAGTAACGTAGAATTGTATATATTTATACACATTATCATATTCTATTAACTTGCATTATCACATTATTATATCTGAGGAAGTATTTGTTTCACACCGGAGCTTTTTCAGATGTTACAAACACTTCTGAGACTTCCGGTGTGAACCAGAATACCGCTGCGCGTATTTCAGGTTTGTTTAGCCGTTTCACATGCCCGCTGCTTAAACTCATTATTCACTGTAATTACGCTTTTAACTGAAGCTGCAGATACACTCACGGTTTCGTTGGTGTATCGCTCTTCGTAGTGTTCTTCCTGTTTTATTTGAAGTCATGTAATTAGCTCCTGAAGTTGTTTAGCGTCACCTATCTAATTTTAGATAGCTAACTGTTTCTAGCTAGCTATTAGCATCACCACTTGTCCTACAACAACGAGGGTCAAAGTGAGAACTCTTTAACTTACACATTTGTGTACAGCGCTGGACTGTGCTGCTACTATACGTCTCCACAGTTTATTCAGAGACAAATGACACTTTAATGAGACGTTTACACCGCCTAGCTGGCCTTTAGCTAACGCTAGCAGAGTGTTGTGATGCATTGTAACGCTTTATGTTAATTAAACATGAATGTTTCCTGGGTATGGATCAACTTTAATCAAACTTAAGACATTGATCAGAGTTATTCTCGTGTATCCTATTCGTATTAGTTGAATCTTTGTCGTCAAACATCGGCGGTAACAACATGTGCAGTAGAAGTTTTTCAAAATAAAAGTGACGTGACGTCATGACAAACAGAGAGTGGATGTCATGTAAAGTTACTCTGGTCAAGATTTTATTTATTTATTTTTACAAATTGCTGTTTTACAAAAAATCCTTAAAATCTCAAATTTTGAATTATTTGTGCGTTTCTTATTTTTCTTTTATAAAATACACCTGTTGTCTGATTGTCCGACTTAAACTGATGAGAAACATTGTTAATAATAAAAATAAAAATAGTAACAGATCAGTTTTAACTACATCCATTCAACTTTTATTACTTGGAAACTAATCAGACATCTCATTAAGACTTTCTTGTGTCGTTTGTTGAGCAGGCGGTGGAGAGTGGATGCTGATGGGGGACGAAAAGGACACCTGGAAAGTAAAAACACTTGACGAAATCCTACAAGAGAAGAAACGCCGAAGAGAATTAGAAGAGAGGACAGACCCCAAGCGCCAGAAAAATGTAACGTATTTCAAACCTAATATTAGACCCTCGTAAACCATGTGGCACATACATTTCAGTACAGTCACAATTATAATAGCGATAATAACGTATAATAGCTCTTTCATTTTTATGTTGTAGACTATTTATATAAACACTTATCAGGGGAAATCAAATAATTACTGAGAAGGCCTTTTGTACTGTGACAAAACCAGACAGTAACTTATTTTTTTCCTCTTTATTTTGAGCTCTAACAGAACGGTTAAGTGTCCAAAGCTTACAGTAATAAAACAGTTTGGACAGGAAAAGTATTTCATTATTTGTTTCTGTCAAGAATTGTCTTTACCTTATAGGTAAATGTATTACACTTACCTACTTTCTTTTTACATATCATAGGACATTTTATACTTGTTTTTTCAAACTGTTACAACATATTCTTCCCTCTTGTCTTTCACAGTTCACCCAGGGCCCTGTTCCACAGGCGGATGATCGGGAAGCCAAACGAGACACTCCGGAGGAAGGAGAACTACGGGATCAAAAAATGGAAATAACAATTCGTAATTCCCCGTACACACGGGAAGACTCAACAGAAGACAGGTATGTGAAATTGTTGGAAAGAAAATCCAGTGATAATGTCGACCCATGGAGTCTTAACAATGTTTTCTTTGTTTTTATTTAGGGGAGACGAAGATGATTCACTTGCAATCAAGCCCCCACAACAAATAGCAAGAAAAGACAAATCTCACCACAGAAAGGAGGAGAAAAGAAAAGATAAAAGACGTCATCGCAGTCAATCTGCTGAAGGAGGTGCTGGAGTGCGGCTTATTTAAACAAACAGAGACATGTGTTTCACAGTTGACCACAACTGTGAAATGAATGTGTTTTCTCAAATCTGCTTCCACTTACATTTTTTTTTTATAGCAGGGAAACATGTACGACCCAAAGACAAAGAAAAAGAGCGAGAGAGCGAACGCAGGAAGCGTCAATGGGAAGAAGACAAAGCCCGGCGAGACTGGGAGAGGCAAAAACGGAGGGAACAGGCCAGAGCTCATTCACGCAGAGAGAGGTGAGCGTTGATCCTGGAAATCCACTAAATGTTAAAAGAGCTTAAATCAGTTCAGGCACAGAAGTATTTGTTGTTTGGTCACCACTTGAGTTGAATCATTTAACATTCATTCAGTGTATACACACAAACAAACTGTGACACGTTGTTAGTGGAGATTGAAAGTACTGCAGTGTATTTCCTCTAATGCACAAATAAAAACAATGCAGACTCAAGTGTATGACCCAAACAATCAACTTATGAGCCAGGTGTAAAAAGAAATGTGAATCAAGTCGTACATTTATAAAGACAACAGATCAGCCCTGTAACTATCAACTAACTGTGTTTTACATAAGCTTTAACAACCCAAACAATGAAAAGATTGACCTTTTGGTTGTCTGGACAGACCTCGATTGGACTCTCCTGGGTTTTTTTTGGACCACAGGGACCGGCTGGAACAGCTCGAGCGCCAGCGCGAACGGGACCGTAAGCTCCGTGAACAGCAGAAAGAGCAACGAGAACTGAAGGATCGGGAGAGGAGAGCCGAGGAGCGACGCAAAGAGCGAGGTGGCCGACGAGAAGGTCGGTGAATGCAGCTAGGCTAGCTGTTGTCTTTATGCTAAGCTAAGCCAAACACTTATTGGTTCCAGCTACTGACAGACACGAGCTGAGTGCTGCAACAGATGGGTTAAGTGTCGTGTAACCAGCTCAAAAGTATCACACTGTCACAGAATTATTACTCAATTATCTTCACTATCAGTAACAAGGAGCTCCAATAGAAACAAACCACATGTTTTTGTGTTAAATGCTTTGTAATGACTGCACATTATATTATTCATTATTCATATTAATGTACATTTTATTTCTTCAAAACCGCCATAAGGGAGGAATTTGATATCATAGATAAACAAATGCATATGATATTTTCACATCATGATATTCGGTGATACCAGTAGCATTTTGTAAGTCTGATAATGATTCTTTGTCTTAAGAAGTCAGTCATGTTCTTCAAACGATAAACCAGATTTGTAGCATCGAGGAATTCTGTTTTTTTTTTTTTTAAATCTATCTGTGAACATTTATTGTAAATCTCTAGAAATTTGTTTAACACACTTACACACTCTCTCACTCTCTCTTTAGTGCCTTCTCATCATCGGATGTTACCCGAAGAGTATGACGATAAGTCAAAACTAAGTCACCGCAGCCGGAGTCCCCCTTCTGTTCCCCGGGACCGAGGTGAACAGAGTGAACCACGGAAAAGTGCGCGTGGGTTTTCCTTTATTTCTCTCTTTGATTAAAGATATCATATCATTGTTTTATTTTTGTTATACCTAGTTATATCCTGTGCAATGACTGCCAAATATCAGGATTAATTTACACTGTGATTTATCTGCAGCATCAAAGGAGGAGAAGCCAGAGGGCAAAGATCTGCTCACAGACCTGCAGGACATCAGTGACAGTGAGAGAAAGACCAGCTCTGCAGAGTCCTCCGTCGGTAATTGATCTTATAAAATACACTTTTATCAACCAGCAGACATGGTCATTATACAATACATGTGTTTTACTCCATGATATTAAATATCTAAACACTTTTGAGGCCTGACCCCTCTGTGAGGACATTGCTGCTTCAGATAATTCTTGTTTGTTTTCATAGGTCAGTATTTTGCAATAAAAGGCAAAATGTTGTTCATAAACACCACAGGAATGTACCAGCGCTCAAACACAACCAACAGAACCAAAGGACTTATGTCAATGCTTTTAAATCTTCTTCACCTTTTCTAGCATCTGGATCTGGATCTGACGAGGAAGAGGATGATGATGATGAAGAGGAGTCCAGCAGCCAGAGTGAGGGTGAAGAGGAGGAAGGGGAGGAGGAGTCTGTATCCGGCTCTGGGAGGTCTGAGCAGAGTGCAGGTAAAACTGTTGAAGACTACTTTACTAGTTGAGTTATTTTCACCGTCTCCAGTCCATTTAGACATCGGCACAGGTCTAACACAGCGGCTTCCTTCATTTCAGAGGACGTGAGTGAAGACGAGCAGTCAGAGGAAGACTTTGAAGAGGAGAGGGAAAATGGAAATCACATCCCTGCAGGTGTGTACACATGCCTCGTGTGATGTCTGTGATATTGAACTTGCATCCGAAGTTTGAATCAATTCTATGTTGATTGTTTTTAAATCTGGAGGTATTAGACTGCAGAAGTAGAGGAAGAAAGTTGCATGGCCCACTAGAAAAAGTTCATGAGTCATATATAAACATTCCGGTCAGTAAAAGCTTTGTCCTTCCTTAAGGGAACACCAGCGATCCAAATGCAAATGATAAGATAGTTCTGTTTCTGAGAAATTGTAGTTTTACAAGGACTGACACGAGACTACATTTTTGGAGGACTCACAATGTTCAGTTAAAGAAAAGATCAAATTAGAGTGACTGCAAACACAAAATGCTTGTTTTTCAGATCCACAAAAAAAACTTTAGCAATGACAATCTATGACTGACAGTATGCAAGATGAATCGGAATTGTTTAACCAAGTAAAATAATTCAACAAAATATTGGTATCTTAAAAGTAACAGTGACCACGATGAAGGCCAGAAACAAAAACATGTTTGTTTTATTAGAACCTCTAGTGTTTTTTGGCTTTCTGGTCCTTTATATCTAAAACGTAGCAGCTCAAATTCCCTCCCCTGGACTAAAGTTATTTCTCCGTTCACCCCTCAGTGCCAGAGTCTCGGTTTGATCATGACTCTGAGGAGAGCGGTGAAGACATGGGGGAGGAGGAAGAGGAGGAGGAGGAGGAAGCAGGAGAGAATGACCCCACACCACAGTCTCAGACTCATTCTCGCTCCCCGACCCCTGAAGAGAACTACATCCCTGACTCGCCCCCCATTTCACCTGTGGAGCTGAAGAAGGAGCTGCCCAAATACCTGCCTGCTCTACAGGTCAGTACAGACATAGCATGGACATGTTACAATTTAGCATAACATTGGGGTTTTAAGTCTTGTGTATTTTTTCTCAGGGTTGTCGCAGTGTTGAGGAATTCCAGTGTTTGAACCGAATCGAGGAGGGAACTTACGGTGTGGTCTACAGAGCCAAGGACAAAAAGACAGGTAGCGCAAGAAAACACGTTTGTCTGTTTGTTGTCTGCTTGATGTTTTTGATTGTTCAGATAAATTATGAATGAAATCGTGACTGTGGTCTCTTGTTTGCAGATGAAATTGTGGCCCTGAAGAGGTTAAAGATGGAGAAGGAGAAGGAGGGCTTCCCCATCACCTCTCTAAGAGAAATCAATACAATCCTAAAAGCTCAGCACCCGAACATCGTCACAGTCAGGGTGAGAGAATTTTTAAATTACTTTCTGATCAACTCTGATTGGATGAGTTCACTCCCTAACATATTCCGGCTAAATCTAACCTGTACATTTTCTCTGTGTTAGGAAATAGTTGTCGGAAGTAACATGGACAAGATCTACATTGTGATGAACTATGTAGAACATGACCTGAAGAGTCTGATGGAAACCATGAAGCAGCCTTTCCTGCCAGGTAATGAGAGACACTGTTGAGTCAAATTTTGTGTGAGTGAAAAGTTCATAGTGATAGATGTTGTTTAGAATTTGATAGATCTCTATTGGTTAGTATTCATTGTCTGCAGCTGTGTTAAAGCAGGATGTTTTTCTCTTCAGGGGAAGTCAAGACTTTGATGATTCAGCTTCTTCGAGGCGTCCGACATCTCCACGACAACTGGATTCTCCACCGTGATCTGAAGACGTCCAATCTGCTGCTGAGCCACAAGGGGATCCTCAAGGTAAGCTCAGACTGTCTGAGGTTCTCACTGTGCCCTGTGAATACAGCTCAGGGAGTCCACAGCAAATCAAGGTTTAAATCTAGAGGAATTTTGATTTGACTACTCAAAATGGTACCAATTTCCAATCTATTTTCTTCTCTGAAAACCCCCCTCACACTGTCTAACCGATAAAGGTCTGCACAACTTTCTCCCTGGCTAGCAGCTACAAAGAAGGATTGAAGAAACAACACATGATTACTTAGAGTCAATCAGAGCATGACTTCTGGCATTACTGAGTCCTCGTGTAAATAAACCAGACTTTCACTGACAATTCTCAGTGTGAGTTTTACACAACCTGACAACAGAAAATGTGAATCACTCTGCACCTTTTTAAATTCTATGCAGCCTGAACAGAGTATATGGAGGTTTTCTAAGACCAGAGAATGGCAAGAAAATGTGTTAAAGTAGTTAAAAAGATGTTCTCATGCCTACATTATATATTTTTAATGTGAGTGAAATGTCTTAAACTGTAGATTGGTGACTTTGGTTTGGCCCGGGAGTACGGTTCCCCCCTGAAGCCCTACACCCCCGTGGTGGTGACCCTGTGGTACCGATCACCCGAGCTGCTGCTTGGAGCCAAGGTGAGAATTTGAATTCACATTGTTTCTGCACTTTACAAAGTACCAGATGACAAAGCAGCTGAGACCATAGATATTAAGATTATTTTGGAGGTGATTATATCATCTTAATCAATACTTTTTACCCATCTTCCTTTATGCCTCCTCCCCCCAAAAAGAAACATCTGTGAAGGATTTGGTTTACAAGAAAACTTAACATCCAAACACTATTTTGAGTTTTGCATTAAACCGGTCAGACAGCAGAGGTCCAACCAACCATCAGCACACATCCACTCTCACACAAAACTCTGACGATGCAGCGTGCCAGGCAGACTGTCTACTCTGTTTCTGCACACTGTCACTGTGTTTGTTCTTTTCTGCGCAGGAGTACTCCACAGCTGTGGACATGTGGTCAGTGGGCTGCATATTTGGGGAGCTCCTCACCCAGAAACCACTTTTCCCTGGAAAATCAGAAATTGACCAAATCAACAAGATTTTCAAGGTAAATGCCTTAATGATGCTCTTATAAAATGGAAAAAATCCAGAATATACAGTGTAAAGCTCTTCTGTTAACAGCCTCTAAATGTGTTGGAAAGTGTCGTCTGTCAGAGTAGGTCAGTGTGGAGTTCTGATGTGCACCACAGGGAGGAGCTATTGGAAGCCATTAACTCCGCTGATGGAGTTATGAAACTGAGAAATTAAGCATATAAGGTTTTTCCATAGTTGTGCCGAAGCATGCCATGCTGGCAGGTTTGGGTGTTTTTCCATTTGACAGAGCAGCAATTCCTGTTGTTGACCTTGATGACTTGTTGAAGGTGTTTTCATCACAAATCACTTTAAGAGCCTCTCACCTTGCAAAATAAAACCAATACTGGAATCCCAACTGGGGCCAGTACAACATTTCTAACTTATCTTCTGACAAAATAGCACAGAATATGTCCATGTGTGCTTTTTATGAGATGCTTACACAGTTTAGTAAAGGTGAAATCAGACAGGCACACAGTAGTCAAATAAACTCTGAACCACAGTAGTTTGGGTAGAAACTATAAAAGTAATGAGAGCTGAACACAGACCTTTTAAAACCAGAGCTTTCTGTCTGGTCTGCAGCACAGACACACATTAGTTCAGCCGCTGAGGAGGACTCAGCTGTGGCGAGTAAACCATCGAGGGCTGGCTGTTTTTGCTGCTCGATGCGGTTACCCTCTGAATGTCATCACAGTGCAGCTAAAGTGGACTGACCCGGGCCTGTGGAAAAACCCTATTAGATGGCTGAATGATTTTTAAGTAGATGATGTGCATTATACATGACAGCTGATGTCATTTAGGCCTCCCAAGACATCCTACAGTCTTAACCACTGATGAATTACAGTATTGAAATGCACTTAGGACTGCTCCATGTCTGTGGTTGATGAATATGATTATATCTCACATCCATCTCCTGTGCGCTAACAGTATGCTGTCTGCTAACTAGTGTGTGTGTGTGTGTGTGTGTGTGTGTGTGTGTGTTGTCTGTAGGATCTGGGGTCACCCAGTGAGAAGATCTGGCCCGGCTACAACGAGTTGCCCGCTGTGAAGAAGATGACTTTCACAGAGTATCCCTACAACAACCTGCGAAAGCGCTTTGGAGCACTCCTCTCAGACCAAGGCTTTGACCTCATGAACAAGTAGGGTCCATTAAGGATTTCTTATTCAACACACACAATACAACATAACACCTCACAGATGTTGCACTGCAGCTTTACTGCACTACAAACATTCTGACCGTCATATTGCAACATGTGAATCCTGAGATTGAGATTTTCTGATATGCCAATATCTTCCAACTCACTTTGGCAGATGTCAGTTCTGATTTACTCACTTGGCATAATTAGACAACTTCTTTAACATTAATCACTCTGTGGAGTTATGAGCTGGTTATGAAAGAGACTTAAATTAAGACAGTTGTCTTTTATGACCTACAGAAGCAAATGAGACCATCAGCAACCACAGGATTGAATATTTCTATTCGTTAATATTTGTGCCTAAAACTACACACTCCACAAATTGTTTATAGCAAAGAATCATATGGTTGACTGTTAAAAGAAAATCTGGATTAGATTTGTTGAACAAAACTGGCAAATAAAAGATAAACAGCGTAGTTCACAGGTCGCCAAAAACAACATGAGCCAAAAGTTCCTCACATGAGCTCAAAGCTACAAATATAATTGTTGCGTAGGCAGCTAAATTAAAGATTATTGAGAAAAGATGCAATTAATACCGCAAACCAATTTTAGGAACAGTCACACCGCAGTTGTTTACTCCTAGCTTAAACATGTGTGTGTCTTATTGATGACAGCGCTAAGTTGGCGTAGTTTGTTCAAAGGTCTAGAATACTAATTTGTTCCTCGAAATAACCCACATAGGCGTCATAATAATCCATCTTTTTATTGATGGAAATGATATCAATGAATGTCAAACATCAACCACTGATATCAGTAACAATCAGCATGACAGTGGAAATTGCCTTACTTGGATGAACATATTGCTTTCCTGTCAGAGTCCGCAACTCTTTCCAGCTGAGGCAGTGCATTTCTGGCAAGCGGACTTAAAACATGACAACGGCAGCGGGCTTGTAATTCATCAACATGCCTCAGCAGCAGTCCTGTTCCATCTCCTTGTTCCCTCTCACACGCGCTCACCATGGTGATCCTCCATACTACAGGAAAATGTTTTACAAATAACGCACATTTAATACGGAAAATCATTTTCACGCAGCAAGTAATGGGTTCATTACTCTTTCACACACATTCCAGAGATCAGCATTGTTTAGCAGCCGCAAAGAGCAGACGCAGAGTTTTTCAGCTGTGCTCTCAGGTCCTTACCCACCCACAGAGATGTTTTTCCTACACCTGTAAACGACAAAACCATACCGCTCTGTCGCCTCGCAGCTGCAGAGGATGGTAACCTCATGTCCACTGTGCAGCAGGAGGAATCACAGTCGAGTGGAAGGCTGGCGTCTGTCCAGCACGGCTGAAACCTTCCAGCTGTCAGGAGACTCTCGATGCGTTTACCCAACTACAGATAAAGACCGCAGGAGGCCGACACAGGAGTGCTTTTTTAGAAAAACCTCAGACAGAGCAGGGTAGTAGGGATATAGACGAAGAGTTCACATGTAGATATCACACAGATGTTTGGAATATCACATCCCCCTGTGATGATTGGGGCCTTTGATATATTTCTCAGAACTTGCTTTTGAAGTGCAATTATAAGGTGAGCCAGATAAGAGACTTGTGTTTCTATCCAGGGCCTCAAGATTCAGGTTTCTGCTTCTTTTCTATCCTATAAAGTTAACTTACTGTGATCAGCTCGTGTCCTAGATATAAAAAAAATAAGCCCTTTAAGCTCAAATGAAAACCAGCACAGCTCTTGGGTCCTGAGAAAGAATGAGGGTGTTTAGATGGCAATGTCGCTGCCTAACAGATGCCGACACTCTTGTTTGAGAAGCTGCGCCCCACATGCCTCCTGAGCAGAGATGCACCAATTATGAAAACGGGGGGTAGATACCGACACCCTGATGTTGAAAATGACAATTTAGTTGATTGGCAATTCTGATACCAATGTCTGTTTTTTATGACTTTTTCGTAATTCTTAGTGTCTGTTTTTCCTGCGATATGGGTGCATACAGATGTTCAAGTGAGGCAATCCCTGCTCTTTAGCTTCCAAAATGCCAGCATGCTGAGAAAAATCACATCCTGCGGTAGCAATATGCCAGCGTTGTCTGGTTACTAACAAAGCAAAACAACAGGCCTTATTTGTGTTGCCGTTGTGGATTCTCTTTGTTTGACAGGGCTAATGACACAGCACAACTGTATGATTAATCCTTTCAATCCCCTATGTGTCATCAAATCACAGTCATCTACCCTTCCACACATAAACAGGCCAGTTTCAGGGTGGTCTTAATTGTTCAACCCACCACCCCTGCTCACATGTTAAGGATTGTAATCAGACAAGAAACCAAGAAAACCAATTATCACGATTTAGCAGCTTCCCATTACGCTGTGTTGATCCTGTCAGATAATGTTCAGACAAATCAACCAGCCCCTCATGTAGCAGCTGCATCCTGGCTCAAATCGTTTGTCTAGATGAGAACCAGAATTCATGTTTACCAAAAAGGATTAGAAATTATTTTATTAAAATCTACACAGACTATACAAATGAGTCCGCACAATAATCTGAGACGCCTGACTACTTGTTCTTCTTCATTGCAATATCATTCAGTTGCTTAAGCGTCTCTATATGAACCGGTTCATTAACTTCTTCCAGATTCCTCACCTACTGTCCCAGTAAGAGGATTTTATCAGACGAGGCGCTCAAGCACGAGTACCTCCGCGAGACGCCACTGCCCATCGAACCGTCCATGTTCCCCACCTGGCCAGCCAAGAGCGAGCAGCAGAGGGTGAAGAGAGGCACCAGTCCTCGTCCACCCGAGGGAGGCCTGGGCTACAGTCAGCTGGTAAGGACATTAGGCTCCACTTTCTCCATGACATACGGCTACCAGGCTTTCTGAACGCTGTCTGTGTTAAATAGATTACAGAGGTACGGGCTTCTGCTTTGTGTCCGGTTATTTCCTCCTTGTGTTTTCCATGATGAGCACCTTCAAACCCCTAATGTTTTCACCAGTGGGCCTACCCACCCAGAAGCTTAAACCTGATACTGATATTTTTGAGTTAAGCTAGTGTTTATTTAGGTTTCTTACCGATAAATTACACCATTTAAAGACAGTCGGTTTGGTTGTTTATCTCATTTTTATTCTTCTCAAAGGGGGGGAAGCTTGTTAAACAAACCTTGGAACATAATATTTCCACAGAAACCAGGAAATCAATAGTAACTAAAATAATATTGTTAATAAAATCCATGCATAGTTGTGTGGATCAGGATGATAATGTCTCACCAAAGCCCTGTCAGTATAAGAGTTTTCCCAAAGAAACCAGTGTAGTATCGATCAGTTCTATAATAAATATGCGAGAAATGTAAATCTCTGATGTTAACAAATGCAGTCAGTACCAATGAGTTATTTTTGTTCCGATATTCTCTGCAGGGCGATGATGACCTCAAGGACACAGGCTTTCATCTGACAACCAGCAACCAGGGAGCGTCTGCAGTCGGTCCAGGATTCAGCCTTAAATTCTGAGTCCAAACACAGCAGGACGCTTCGCTGTCCAACTGAGGAGAGGAGCAAAAAGTTCTAGGACTACTTTTGGAACTGGACTGTCTCTGGTTTGCGACATTAAACCAGATCATTCTCTAAAAAACTTAACACCAAACAGGACTGTTTCGCAGCAAGACTGGTGACAACAAACATTTTGAGACTTTTCCCGTAAACCTCACTACTTCTTCTCTTATATGTTTTCTTCAAGCATTCAAGATTTTAAATGTTAGCTAACGAAGAGGAGATGCACAGAACCATAAATCTGTTGGAGGTTGAGCTCTGTTTTTTCTTTATAATTTCACCGTGTACACTTCATGAGAGGACCAGATTTTCTAAATGGTTGGTATTTCCTGGCTGCCTGAGCTACTGTATAATGATGCAGCACTGGCTGTGTGCTCCTTCCAGCATTATGTCAGAAAGTTACTTTGGGCTGTCAGGTCACTTCATGAAAGGAGGAAACTGTTTTTGCTAGAAATAAAGTTTGAAACTTTGTTTTGTCTGCTGTTTTCTCTGTATTTATAAACTCTGTCCAAACTATGCAAACACGACCGCATGCTGCCAGAAAGAGAAAAAAAGCTAAAGGAAGTCGAGCTTAAAAAAAGATCCAGCCTTGAACCCAACTTGGTAGTCGCTGTCCAAAAGTGATGTCATTCTTTGAGCTGCACACTTTGTCTCAGTACTTTGTTCTTTTTGGGGAAAAGAGGCCCAGACGTCTCTCGGCCTTTGTTTTTAAATGGCTCTACGACTTCAGAATTAAACCAATAAATTCTTTGATTTTGAGCCCAAGAAAAATAAACAGTACAGTTTAATTTCCTTGCAAGACCACTTGCTGCTTTCACTGGAACAGGCGCTGAAAAGTCCCCCTTGCTTTGAGACGTCTAGAGCCAGCGCTAAATGGAAATGTTCATTAATCAGTTTTATCTATCCCCCAGCCCCCACTGGAGCCCTTCTGCAGATTATTGCACCTGATGTGTTGAATAAGCTTGGAAGGAGAGCTGCTAGTGGAACTGACGGCTTGGTCTCTGGAGGCAGACTGCTGGCTTCAGTGTGAGGCTAGTAAAGTAAGCTAGACGTCTGAGGTGTTCCATATGTGGTTTAAAGTCCAAATGGTTCCAAAGGCTGTAGACAACATTGCTTACTCTGGCTTTAGTAGCTTACTTTGGTCAGTGCGTAAATTATTCAAATTGCACTCCTCTAAGAAAGAGCTTCTGTAACTTTTTCATGCACCTGAAATGATTAATATTATGTGGATGACACTTTTTTTCCCAGGGACCTTTTAGTGGAAGATTTTTGTGTTTATATATTTATATCTATCTTCATGAAACCACAGTATTATCTAAGTCGGTCCCATTTTGCTGTGGACATCCCTAGAAGCTCGGGGCTGCCTTTGGAAACCGTTAACTACCTTAGCAGCCAGAGGTACACAGAGACATCCTGGCTTAATGATTCCAGAGTTGATGTTATTGTCCCAAACAGATGAGGGTGGCTGCAAGGATCCTTCACCAAATGAAATGCAGACCGCCCCGTCTGTCTCGATAGCTTTTCACAGTCAGGTAGTATATTCACTGAAATTGTACTTGTCACGGAACATTTATTATTTATACATATTAAATCGCAGTGACAGTCAAAGTTAAGACAGTTATATCTGTAAAGACAGTTCTAAAAAAAAAAATACCCAGAAGTATGTGCCCTAGTGAGTGAGGTCGTCTTGTGACCATGTATGAGAATGAACTCCAGTTCAGTGTGGAGAGCGCTGAGATGACCTTTCAGAAGCGCACACGTACCCTCCATGAGTAGTTTGTGAGAACTTTGTCTTTTTTCTTCACAACGCAGGTGTATGTGCCTTCGTTGATGGCGTTGGCCACTATAGTAATGTGGTCGTCCTTCAGTGAGATGTAGTTGGGATGCGAGAACTCCAGCAGCTCCCCGTCCTTGTACCAGCTGAAACAGAAGTTAGACATTAGATGGTGTTAAGTGACATGACACTAAAGCTTCACTGAGGTTGGGAAGGAATGTGTATGTGCTGGATATAAGAAGTGATCAAGCGGCAACCTCCGGTGTTAAAAAATGAAGCCAATGCGGAAGTTCAGAAAAACTGCAGCTTTTGAGCGTCCACTTGAGCAAACAGTTTTAGCCTGAATAGCTAATTTCTTTATTTGTACACACTGAACAGGGGCTAATTGAGACTAAGAGTCAGCCATACATTTGCATAACTTGGCTTGGCCAAGTTTATTTGACACATGGGTGTGTTGTGTGTTGTAGCTGTTTTAGTTAGTTAGTTGTTTTACCCAGTCTTGACTTGGCAGGCTCAGGATTTTAAATCAAGACCGTTCAAGAGCACCACTGATTGGCTATTTTTCCACGTCATTTCTGTGATTAGAATGAAAATGCCCCTTTCTAAAACAGCAAGTTACTCCACAACCTTCCCAGTGTTACGTTCTAGGTGAGTGACACACCTGCTGCACACAAGATGATGATTTTCCATTGATATGGTCTTGGTATTGACTCGGTCTCGATCCCTAAATGTCTCGGTCTTGTCTTGGTCTCGGAGCGATCTGGTCTTGGGTATGTCTTGGTCTCGGTCAGTGTGGTCTTGACTACAACACTAACCTGTTTGCCAGAAGGCTTAAGGCCTGCCTTAACTCCACCTGTCACTATACTGGTCGATAATAAGGTGGAGATTTTTCCAATATGGCGACAAGCATCGTTCAGCTTCAAACTGCCTCTTCATAAACAAATGGGTGACGTAACTGAGACTACTAGAGGTTGGATACGCCTTTATCCTGGTCTGCCGGTCGCTGTGATAGAAGATAGCAACTTGTCACTTCCTGAAGCATATCCTGCTTTGTTGTTGATTTTGGTTTCAAGGGGATGACAATTTACCTAACTATCATCAAGCTTTATTGAAGAACTAAAACTTCAGACTGACACTATAAGGTTCACTGAGGTAATCAATCATCTGTGAAATAGGGTTATATTGTAAAAGGTCTGCATACATTTGGACTTGTTTTTGCAACCTGTGGAGTCTGTTTAAGGCATTTCTGCATTGGCTTACCTTTTTTAAAACTACGTGCCAACATGCTCTTATTTACAGTCTATGGGCGGCAGATACTCACTATACTTTGCCTTTCTTCGATGCTATTTTCTTCCCACAGCGAAAAGTGAGCTTCTTGCCCTCGATGACAAGCTTGTGCTTGGTCCGCGGGGGTGTCGGAGTGGGAGCCACTGTGGGGAAAGGGAATTCTGAAAAAAAGATTGAGGAGAAAAAAATTCAGCTCACGTTCCAAAATAAGAAGCACAGAGATCAGAGCCTTAATAATGATCAAGCAATGAACTTGTTCATTCAGAAAATATCTGAGAGACACAAACAGAGACATTATCCTAAAACTCTGTGCATTTCATAATCTGGAGATGAAACAGCTTTCCCTTAAAAAAAACTTGGTGAAACACAGCTTACTGTCATATTTTGATAAGAACCTTATCAAAGCAGATAATAAATACTGTTTTCACACCCCCATGACCCAGCAGATTCGTGGGCGTCTTATCGATATAATATCTCCCATCTGTTTTCTGACAAACAAACGTGATCAACTTAAGAGTCTGCTTTAAAAACAGTTGCTCTCGTTAATGCCGCAAAAATCCAAATTGACCTTGTGTGTCTCTAACCCTCAAGCCACAGTCTGAAATTCCAGCGGTTTGGAGTCACTCAGGAATTTTCCACAGCCGTACAACGTCTCCCAATCAACAATGAGGAACAGATTACTGCGAGCCAGGAATCGTATCCTCTTGCTTCTCTCCACACTGTCCCTTGTTGCAGACAAAAATCTTGCAGAGCCACAACAATCTATTGTCTTTGATGGTGAAGAAGAGACATTTTCTGTTGTGCAAAAGGAGAACTTGGCACCAATGCATCCCACAATTGACCTAAAGAGGCTGTCAGATCGCTGACCTGTTATCAATGCTTTGAGTGGAGACAACATTCAACAGGTACCTTCTCTAATCTGCTCTGTCAGTGTGCTGGGCTGAAACCCACACTGCCTCCCAGAGGGTTCTGGTATTCTCAAGAACTAAACACACTCCTCCAGTGGCAAGTGTAATCTCACTTCAAATCAGATTCTTGAAAACCTCCATCGCAGCTCTGCATGGCTGGACCTGTTGGCTCCCGTTGCTCCATTGGCAAACGGTTCACAGCAGCTCCTCAATTGAGAGAAAAGATTTTCGTTTTTTTCCCCCTGGACTGCTTCTGCTTTTTGCTGCTGCGTCTTACCGTAACAGAAATCACAGCTGGACGGGCAGTGCTTCTGCATCAGCTTGCGTTTGCTTTCGCAATAGCCTTTCCGAGCCCAGGCCGGACAGATAAATAACCGGTCCAAACATCCTGGAGGAGAGAGAGGGGAGATGGGGTGAGTAGGAGAGCGATAGATAACAGTTTTCAGTCAGCGGTAAAAAAAAAGAATGTATCCCTGATCTGCTTCTATTTCCAATAGAAAATGACTCACCATAATACACATTAATAATGACTCATAAGAAGTTTACACAAATTCATTAGTGCCACGTTGGCTTTTAGTGTCTGTCTTTTAAAAGAGGCGTTGGTGGTCTACATTTCTGGCTGATTGGGATCAAAGAGGTGACCAAAGCGTTTCATGCCGCGCTGTGTGTTTGACTTCCAAGATGGCCAATGTGTCGGAGTAATCCATCACTTCATCCCTTGAGTTCTTGCCCTGTCTTGGCTGAGAGACAGTCTACAACCAATCGTAGCTTGCCGTCTTTAATAATCTTTATGACGTGCAGGTGATAGGGAAGTTGGTGACAGGCTTCAACGTAACTTTTCCACCTCACAGCAGCAAAAACATCATTCTTCTTTGGCTTTGACATTATCAAGGTTTAACGCCAACGCCATGGAACTCGCTGTGAGAACTGTCGAACTGGGTGCAAAAATGCAGAAGAGTTCTGGTGCTGTTTAGACTTTTGGAAGGTTTGAGATTTCCCAGTTGACACACCATGTCTGCCAGGTAGGGTTATCAGGCCTCATCAGGTCATCTGATCCAACGACTGGAACTTTCATGACATTGATTTAGTTCTTGAGGATTTGTTTTAATGATTCAAGACGCTTCATACAGTTGTTCACTGTTTGGATGACTTGCAAAATGACTTCAAGACCAATTAAGTCAATTGATTTGTTTACTACTTCTGGATTTCCTTTGTGCTGGATCGCTGACAACATCCCAGATGTGTTTTTTTTTCATTGTCAAAACCCACTAAAGAACTGTTCATTTTGGTTTTGATGGAAAAGAAAGAATAATAAGGATCGTTAACATACCGTAGAGACGGTGCATGCCCCACACCTCATCCTGTGTGATAAGCTTGCGGCCTGTCAGAGTTGCATTTAGGTGCATTATAGCTTTGGGATCCATGGAGTGCATGAGTCCCAGGACGTGGCCGATTTCATGAGTTGCCACATGAACAAGATCTGTCAACCAAACCCCTGAAAAACAGACAAAGTTGATTACTTTTAGTTGCTGTGCACTCCCAGAGCTGATCAGTTTACAGTCTGCTACATCCATTATTTATGGGTTAGATATGAGCAATTTCCACAAATATGATAAAGACACATGCCTTTCTTCCAGCTAAAGCGCATGTTTCCCAGAATCCAGTACTCATGGTCATCAAAGTGGATCTCGCCAGTTGGCGGGAAGAACGCGTGAGCCAACTCTCCCGTGATTCCGTCGAAACAATGGTGCAAGTAGGACTGCAGACAGTCGGTGTGGTTGACGGGGTAGAAGCCTGCCAAGACAGACGGAGAGAAACACAGATACATTTAGAGCCGAGGAGGGAAACCCTCGCTCCATTCTTTCTGCTCCGTGAAGACAACAGCAGGAGGAATGATGAATTACAAAAGTCAGAACTTCAGCTTCGGCTTTCACTCTGCTGGATGACAACCATTCCTCGAACTGTCACTGAGAATTTATGCAGGACTCTGGAGTTTGCACCCAAAGGGACAGATAAAGCATAATTTAGACTGCTTCAGCATGGGCTGACATGTATGGAAGTTGTTAAGCATTTACTTTTTTTTAGTCAGAATTATGAATCATGCAGAATATAAGCTTGGTAATATAGTCGCTGAACGGTGATTTAGTAGATTTGGAGGATGCTGAAATTTCTGCGATGACAGCACGGAGAGAAAAACAGCAATGACAAAGCAGAAGTCTGGAGCTCAGAGCCAAGGAACATCTGTTGGGGATTGATGCAGCCACATGCAGAGTACCCACCGATCTTAATGTCCGCTTCTTGGTCAGCTGGCACCTCTCTGAAGCTGAACGGCGAGACGTCGCTCCACATGCCAAACGCCTTGGCAATGCCTCGGCGCGTGTCACTGGCATTTATCAAGTTTGTAGGGTAGGAGAGCAACCTGCTCAGAAACAACAGCATTGTGTAGTTAATACCGGTCTCTACACACATTCCTCTACAGCAGAGGGATCTGCCAAAACACAATGGCTACTGTTCAGACAGACCAGGATTCCCACAAGCACTCCAAGTACAGCTCCATTACTGAGACTTGATGTTCTCTTATATCTTGGCTAGACTGATATGGATACTTTCAACAAGAATCACATTTTGATGAACTAGTTAGATCAACTGTCAAAACAAAAGACAGGAAATATATAAATGCTACTTTTGGATGACTGAATGTTGGATTGATAATTACTCTTTGTCTACAGTCCACGAACTGTCACCTAAAAGCTCCAGTTCAATCTAATCGTCATATTTACAACTTGGGGGGGAGGGGTACATTTTTTAAAGCTACAGAAATCTTGAGAATCCCTCGAGCTTCTTTGATCAGTGCAACACAAGTCAACCATGTTAAAGCCATGCTGTTGCATTGGAGCTGCAAAGGTGCAACATCTACTCTTATTTGCTTTTTGTGTGTGAGCAAAGTTCCTGAAGGCGATCAATCAGACATCTTGGTCTGACTACCTTCAATGTACATCTTCACTGACTTCATATGAGAAGATATTGCTAACCTGCACTAATAAGTCCCGTTTCAATGTGTAAGCTGGCAACAACAACTCCAACTTAAATTTTCTCTGATTGTGTTCTCCATCAATATCAGCCTAACTTACAAAGTATCTTTCTGTTTTCTGAAACCCTGCTGCATTGTTCAGAAATAGGAAGGTTTAATGATTACTTGTATGTTAGCTTGAACTTGTCCCATTTGAGCTGCTCCGGGGTGAGGGTGTAGCGTTTGTTCCTGGACAGGTGAAGAACTTGTGTCCTGGCCTCTTTGCGGATCCCGATGAGCAGCACAGTGGTGTAAGGTTCTTCCTTGGACAAAGAAAAACCTTTTATTAATCACCTCAGACTGAAAATGAAGTTAAGATCTACACCTTGTTGAACCTTGGGCTGTTAATGGGTCCTAATCTGAAAACAATTAAAAACATAGCTATGCCATTTGCTATGCCACTGCATCTGAATGCTAAGTATTCAGTTTTCATGCATAGAAACAACAAATGGTGAGCAGCAACAGTACTTACCAATCCTTGTTTGTGATCTTTTCAAAGACAGGCAACATCAACCCCAAGTAATCAAGCCTGGATTCCACCCATTTTTAAAAATTCTTTATTTAGAGTATGGTTGAGACATTTTACAGAGAAATTGTCAGGGTTGGCAGTGAGGCGCCAATTGGCCTAGCAGTTAGGTTACGCCCAACATACAGGCTTTAGTCCTGGGTTTGAGTCGGACCCCAATCTCCCAGATTTCCTACTCTATCCACGTTTTCGGAAAATGTTGCTGAAATACAGTTTCCCCTTCTAAGCAGTCTGCATCACATTAAATGTCAAATAACTACATCTACATTCTACCAAGAGGGATGTGTAGTTGCATTAATGCACATCGGCATGTTGGTGTAAAGTTCAGCACGTTTTTTAAATTTCAAGAGTTAAATGAAAAATAATTTCTACTATATTTCATAAGATTTCAAAAGCTGTCTTTGTGTGCTTTGCATTTACTGTTTTCATAAGTATTCAATAAGTGAGGTGAAGTTGTGGTTCGACTTGGCAGCAATTTTCCTTAACAGTGATTTCACCAGTTAACTTTTTATAGAGGTTTGTTTAACTAATAGAGCCACTTCTCAGCACTTTTTCAATTCTGACTTAACAGTCCATTTTGACCGACTGGCTGCAGTGAGAAGGTCCAACTTTTTGTATGCATCAAACCAAGTTCTTGTTGGATTGTCAAAAGGAAATGAAAGTTCTTCCAATCTAACAGAAATGCTCACTCTACACTATGACCAGCCCGTTTTTTTGAAGTTGTGAAATTAGGCTATTTATGTAGCTCTCTCTTAAGTTAAATTGTTTCTGTGTTCTTACAACTGTGTGTCTTTCCTTTCATGTAACACTATGAAAACATGAAAAAGGCAAGGCTGTCCCAACACCTCTACTGCCAGGTAAACAAAAACACTGCAACTCTGGTAGTCTCCTGTTTAAGGCATCTTAGGGGTGGTCATAAAGAACAGGTTTTAAGACTTTGCTGTAACTAATTTATTTCAACCATCCCAAGGCCTTATATGTAGAATAGATTTTTAAATCAGTTCCTTTCCCCAAACGAGTTAACACAATGGTTGATGAATCTCTGGCACACCAGTGAAAGAATTATTAGCACCCGGCATCATTCACTGAGAAGAATCTAAAGTGATATCCAGCACCCAGTCATGGTCGGTCTACCAGAGTGAGTGAGCAGAAGCTGCGGGCTGTCTCTCCATTCTCTGGTGAGTTGTGGGTAAATCATTATTCTGTATTGTCTGACAAGGACATAGCCTCTGGGAGTGATGTGCAACTTTACAGTGCGTCCGATATAGTGACCAATTAGTGATGTAGACTTCTGGCTAACGCTTCCTTTTCTGTAATGTTTATATTTACATTCGGATGGGCAACTTGACAAGTGAGTGTGTAGTTGGTGTTGAGAGAGGACATCTAAGAGTGGGTTTTTATGTGCACCTGCATGCAATAAGATAGTAAACAAAGTTAATCTTTATTAGATTACTGCCAATTGATTTCAGGATTGCATTACAGTGGATTAATTTAACCTCTTTGGTTCTCCACAGGAACTGATTTTCTGCATCAATATAGCCAATGCCCGCTAAATCACTGTTGGACGATACTACAAATTGAAACCAGAACAGCTCTCATATAAAAATTCCAGTCCTCCACCTACAGATTCTGCATTTTGAAGCAAAATCTCTAAACAGATTTGTGGAAGACCCAATCACATACCTGCAATAACCACTTAATGTCACAGGTGTCACCAAACAAAAAAAAGGTTCCTACCGTACACTGTGTAAACAGTCTCCGTGACGTCACCCTGTGGTTTCTGAAGAGGTGTTTTTAAATGACAGCGGTCGCCATATTGGAAAAGGCTACCTCCACATAACTTTTGATCAGTCTAGTAACAGGCAAAGAGTTGGAGTTAAGGCAGGTCTCTCCCTTAACTCAAACAGCTAAAAAGAGCTCGCCTGTCAGTCAAATCAGAAATGTCCTAAATAATGCAAATGTATGCACAACTCCCAGCCGTAAAATAATCAAAAAAGGTGAGTGAGGAATAAAGAAATGAGCTGACAAAAGCTGTTGTTTTGAACCAGGCTGTAAACATGTTTAATTCTGGTGCATGGGCATTTTAACATACATCTTAATGGAGCTTCTTTGGCTTTTGGAGACAGCCTCTAGTGGACATTCTGGGAAATGCAATTTCTCACACTTATGCATTTGCTTCATTTTTCAACACCACACTCGGTTGCTACTTTGATGGTGTAAACAGTTAATTCCTACGATGATAGATACACGAGGGTGAAATTCATTGTAGTAGTTTTGAAGGCAATGGTTCCTCCTACACGTGGTTGCAAAATTATAAAGAGCAGTGGCATGCAAGAAAAGTCTATTTCTGCTGTTCAATGTTAGATCAACTTTTTGACTCTTCTCAAATCTTTGGGCTTCCTTTTTATGTTTGATTGTTTCACTTTTTCAGAAACACAAAAATATTAAATTGTACCTCGTGTGGAAAATCAGGCTGTTGTTAAGCTGGTGGAAAAGCAGGGACCATTGCAACCTTTGCTCCAGCATTTTCTCAAGGGGCAAAACCTCTCGAAGAAGGGAAGCAAATATCAAAGCAGCTCACTCCTCTTTGTATTCTACACCCTATCCTCTGGTTCCTGTTCCTGCTTCGCCCAGTCAAAACAAATAGATCCAGTACTTCCTTCATTTCCTCACCAGGGGCCGGCAGTCTGAAGGACTGTCCACACTGCTGCAGAACCCGGTGACCTTTCTCTCTCTTATGTTTGATACAAAGTTCAACATTAGTACTGGTCACTTTTTTTATAAAACAGACCTCAGATGACCTCAGTTGACACAGCTGAGTCTTGTGTTTAGAGATTTATGGGGTGTTTAATGTACTAAGGCCAGTGCAGATCTTTCTGTATCTTGTGTTGTTATAATCACTTCAAATCTAATCTCACTTTGGCACGACTAAAGACGAACCATAAACCATGAGGGCCCAAACAAGCCGGCTAGACTAAACCTTGAAGCCAGTGGTGAGCGCTGACACGGACAGTGAAACATCCAAGGATAAAATCCCAGAGGATCCTCGGGAGAGTCTGGAAGAGTTGGATGGGAGACTGCCAGAGACTGCTTAAAGAGGGATTATGATTTTTATCCTCAGTTTCAGAAGACTGAAGGCCCGATTCATCAAAAGAGATCTAATGTAGCTATAAAGCAAAACACAAGCTGTCAAGTTAACCTTTACTAAGCAGGCACATCTTTATTCTCACACTGTGGATATGCATAAGGCTGATCATTTCAGATATCTGTTCTATTGTTTCACAACCTGGGGTCCGGGCCCCCCTAGGGGAGCACCAAAGACTTTATATACTCTGAAGTTCTCAAAGTTGTACATCTGAACTAAAACCATGATAAGATACTTAATTGATAGCCTTTACTTTGAGATAGGAAAGTGGAAAGAGCCAGATGGAGAGGAGAGAGAGAGTATGTCATGCAGAAAGGGAACCACAGGTTGGATTTGAACCCGGTCCGCCTGCTTGGAGGACTACAGCGCGTACTAACCTACCTAACTACCTTCGCCCCTCTATTTGAAAAAAAAAGTGTGTGTAGGCCTCTTCTTTTCTGATTTCATCTGTGAAAATAATTCAAATTTATGTTAATTTTTTGACACAAATGCTTCACATTTTAATGTTCGAACAAACCAATCAAAAGGTCCAATATTTGGTACATTTTGATTGGTTGGTTTGAACAGCAACATTGACTTCCTGATTGGTTAAGCAGCAAAATAAGTCAGTAAAGTCAAGTCAAAAAAGGTTGGAAACCAGCAATTACGCAAAGTCAGTCGTCAACATTGCATTAAATCATGTGTTATATAGAATTATTTAAAGTTCTTTGCAACTATGACAATACTTTTAAGCTGTTTGTGAATAGATAAAATACATAAACGCACATTATTAATGCTACTTTACTTCATTTAACCTCACGTTATATACTCCTATGTGCCTTTTACTTAGGTTTTATAGCTGAAGAATCTTATCTAAGGCCCTTATGTAATCCACACACTCATGATTGACACGTTATGAGAGTTTGTGGCGAAGGAAACGACATAAAGTCATCCCTCCGGCTCTGTAGCACAGTGGGTGGGTGGCAGTGATAGAGGAACACATTTATCCAATTGACTCAAGTTATTACTGCACAGGGATGAGGGATCCATCCCCATGCTCTAATCCAAACATGATACTCTTTTAACTTCTTCACCAGAGACACTAATTCAATCTGATGCTTATGCCATATCTTTAATGCACAACTAATGATACGCTTTTAAAGAAGCAGGACGCGTGATTGAAATCGCATAGCCGGTGGCTTCAAATTCAAAAGTCTGGAAGCTCCTGCATTATAATACTGAAAGAAAACTGTAAATATGATGGTGAAATCAGAGGTCAAAGGACCCAAGTTAAACTATCTCTTTATTATTTGAATCCTATAATATTGACTTTGACATATTTCAGATAGAGAATCGTGGAGAATAACAATTTACTTTAAATTACTTTAATCAAGTTAGTAACTTTTTTAAATAAGTGCTGCTCTAGGCCGAATGGTAGAGATCATTTTGATATTAAAATAATACATACATTAATTCAAATCGTAGCATTCAGCTTTAGCTCAACCCAAGGCTCATTTTAAAACGCAGAATTTTGAATGGATTTTTTTTTCTTTTTTTTTACCGTGATCTATAATTTTACAATTAAAAACCCAACAATGAATCAAACTAGCAGAAGCACACTGACAGCTCTCACTGGTCATAAAGGGCTCACAGCATACCTCTAACCTCCAGGAGGGAAACGCTGTGGTTTGTTGCATCCCTGCGAGCAGCAGACTGAGCAGCGCAGCAGCCAGCAGAGGAGCGCAGCCCAGCTCTCCTCTGCGTAAACCTCTGGGAGTCTGACTGCTCACCATGGCTGCGATATCACACCTCCAGGTGGAAAGAAAAACACAAATAATCCCTCAGCGAAGGCAGCGCCGGTTTACCATCTATGCCCGCGAACACTCGGCTATTTCTTTGCCATTGCACGGTTCGGTAGTGTGTTACTACTCCGGGAGAGCTTCTGTTGCGGTGTGCAGCAGCAGCAGCAGCAGTCCAGCCTGCGCACCGGGTTGTGGAAGCAGTGCAGACTGCATCAGCTCTGCTCGGCTCTCTTCCGCACAGTGCGTCTGCCAGAAGGCTGGTTTCATATTACTGTATGATGGGGCAGGGGGTCAGTGTCGAGACAATCTAATGAAAACCAAACGCGCTCCGTCCATCAAACCACTTGTTGCAACCACCAGAGCACGGTTAAAGCAGAATCAGATGGCTGCTTTTGAACATGCTTTTCTGAGGGTTATGTAAGGCTGCAGGGGGAAAAAAGTAGTTTAGTCTTCTCTTTATTTACAGTGGCATGCACAGACACCAACCACAACACAGGGAAACAACACAGGGCACCACTCTGGACTGTTTCACATTATATTCTGTCCAAACTTGTACTTAGCAGAGCAGACAAAGAATCCAGTGTACTATTTTAATCTCATCTTCATCTAACAATGCAATTTTCAGCTTAACAGATGTGCAGCTGCACTGCATTATAAAGCTTTCTGTTAATGGAGTCATTTGTTTTAAATTATGAACATTTGATAACATTTAAGTTGTGTCCTCTCAAACTGTGATCGAGCATTACAGTTCAGCGAGGAACATTTCAGCTCCACAGTGAGTTTGATGAATGATTCCTTGTGTTGGCAGTCATTCTGATTTAGTTTGCAGAGATGCCATTTGTAGAGAGGAGGACATGGAAGTGACACCTTACCCTTCAGTGAAGTAGAATAAGTCAAATAAATCTCCCCAAAGCTGAGCACAAATTTGAAACATTATTATTATTTTTATTGGAAAGAAGGAATAATGAGCAATGACTTAGAAGAGCTAATTATTTGGACCACAGTTGTCAACAAAGTTAAGGACTCACAGAGATGATTATTGAATCAAATCCCCAAAGAACCACCATAACAAACTGATAGATGTGTAAATGGTGGTAAAGTAAAACTTTTAAATGAGGTCCCTAAAGAAAGCAGCTGCACTCTGCAGTGTTGCAAACAGTATGAGTGTATTGAACATTTTAAACAAAGAGTGTTCAATGATCTTTGTCTGCTTCAAAGTAAGATCTTTAAACTTATTTTTTGGTCCGATATTAAACAAACTATAAAGGATCAGCTGCATAAAGGAAGGTAAACTTATCGTTATCACTGCACTCTTTTCTCAACAGACATTTTGATTAGTGGCTAGAGCGCACGGCCCATGTACAGAGGAGACAGTCCTCAAAGTGGGTGACACGGGTTCGAATCCGATCTTTGGCTTTTTCCCCACTCTCTCTCTTTCTCTCTTTCTCTCTCCCCCCAATTTCTGACTTTATCTACTGTCCTATCACTCAAACAGTCACAAAAGACCCAAAAATAAACCTTAAAAAAAAAGAAAAGCCAGTTAGAAGAAAGCTGCACATGAACTTAGTTTCAGGGCCTTGGCATCTTCTCTGACTTGGCTTACATGAAAGGGAGCCATCTGGTGACAAGTCAAAATGTCTGCGGAGAAAAAGTAGGTCTAAACTGGAGCTGAAATAATTCACCTTTTATTTATAATAATTGAATCCTCTCTATTAAACCCTTAACATATTATTTTCAAGTATCACTATTGTTTAAAATAAAAGAACACAATGCTGTAATTGTAGCTCATTGTTTAAAACAAATCGACTTGATTTATCACTTGACATGTTTAAGTCATGCCCTTGTGAACCTGATGAGTTATATTTTAACTAAGAAGATATTTTGGTACAAATTGTGTCCTTTATGCATAGCCTAATAAAAAGCTGTATGATTACTTAATCTTCTTTGATCTGAATCGTATCAGCTTCCTGGACTGCAGATTCACTTCCACCCACTCAGCAGCATTTTCGGACAGTTTCCATTTGTTGAAACTATTAGTTTGTTCCACCTCTGCCAGAGTATCTGAGGTGTGCTAAAGCAGTTGAAACATTGAAATCAAGGCTCAAAACATTTATGTTCATTGTGGCTTTTGAGTAAACCGCCATGGCTGTTATTAGAGGCATTTTACTGCTTTGTTTTACTTTCAGATTTAAGTAGAAATACTGTTTCTGTTTTTGTTTAGATTTATTGTTGGACTTGTTATGCCTTGATTGAGATAGTGTAGGACAGTAGATAGAGTCAGAAATCAGGGAAAGAGAGAGAGAGAGAGTTGGCGATGACATGTAGGAAAGGAGCAGGTCAGATTTGAACCCGGGACACCCGCTTCCAGGACCTCTGACCTCCGCATGCGCACTTACCACTCGGCCACCAGCGCCCCCTGTTTCTTTTTTGGCAATAACTTTTTTTCTGTATACTTTGAAATCAATGACTTTTTATTAAACGTATTTGTATCTGAATCTTCTTTTCATGCTGCTTTTACCTCAATTTATATTGCCTTAGATTTATTATTATCTTAGAATTATTTATTATTTTATTATTATCTTATGAAATGTTTAAAATGCCTATGTGAAGCACTTTGAATTGCCTGGTGTCTGAAAGGTGATATATAAATTAACCAGCCTTATCATAACTATTATTCTCTTAAAAGTGTCATGTTTGGGGATTAGGATATTGGATTTATATTTTCCTGTAGAAGTAACAATAATCCTCTGTTGTTATTGACAACAGATTATTTGTGTTTGACTTTAAATTTAAGCTTTTTATTCATTTATTTTCTTCTTTTTTTAAAAAATTGTGCCCTGTAATTTGTAGGAATAACCATAGACTGTAAATATTAAGGGGAACAGACTCTAGTCGGAACCATTGTACGACACGCTGTTTCCTCGACCTCCTTACAATGCTGCACTTCAGGCGGAGGAAATGGCGCCCGTCAGGTGCAGCAGGGTTTACAGTGGCCAACCAGTCAAGTACCCTCGAAGCTGACACGTAAGCTAACTCACGTCCTCTGCCCTCACCTGGCTCAGCGTACACACAAAGTATGTTTTTAAGCGGAGAGAGACGCAGAGTTAGTCGGATGGTGAAGACGTAACAGGTAAGAGGAAGACATTATCCCTGTTCTGACAGCGTTAGCTCCACGGCTAGCCACTTAGCTTTAATCCCATAATCTCAGTAGGTAGCCTGAGGTTGTTCGCCCCCTCCCGGGTCCGGTGCCCTTTAGTAGGTGGCATGTGTGTAGGTTTGTTCCGAAAGGACACTCTCCAGAATCTGAGTGTAGGTGGTATTTAAATATAAACCACGTGTGTTGGCAAGTGAAACAATCCCCTGTTTGTTCAGAAACCTCCCACTTCAGTCTGAATACACAGAGCCAGGCAGCACTGGTAGCCTGTTTTATTTTAACTTACAGCACTGAGTCAGTGGGAGAAACTACAGACTGCTTTGTGATGCCTCCCCTAACCAGCTGAGCCTCACAGATAGTTATAATGTCATGCAATCCTAACTTTAAAAGAAGGTGATCTTAGACATATCATTAAAACATGTTTAACCTTTATTTAACCAGGAGACATGTATAGTTATACGTATATATACATATATACTGTACATTCTCTATATTTTATTATATTAGTCTATATTATATAACATTTCATTATATTACACTATATTGTTCACATTGCACTACATTATATTATATTATAGAACTGCATACCGAGTCACTTTAATCATCACTTGTTGACAGTGACACATCTTGTCATTCTCTGCAAATACTGTCTCAATTCCCTGCATAGTTAACCTCATCATTCTTTTTGTACTTGTATATGCCCTCTGTTTTTATTTTTATTTATCTTATCTATTCTGTTTAATGTGTATTTTGAGCTTTCTTGTCTGTGCTGCTGCCCGAATTTCCCCTCTGGGGATGAATAAAGTATTATCCTATCCTATCCTAAATCTCCTTTTCAAGTTTGTGTCCAGGCCAAGACAAAACAGCAGCCCAATTAACAGAGAAAACCAATGTGCAGCCACATATAATATAGATATTAGACATTCGAAGACACAACATTACAAATTAAAACAGGAAATATTTGTCAAGATCGCCCAACACCATAAATATATCAGGCAGTTTGATGTGTCTGCTGCTGAGTCATTTGATATCCTCTTTAAAGCATCCAACGAGATCGGCTCATTTGATGTATTTTTGTGATTTGTTCCACTTAAACAACCTTTCCCCCTGTTCAGTTCAGACTTTTGGAAAAGACAGGAAGAAAGGATAATAAGTTCCTGTAACCTTCTGACTGATGTGTGAAGGAAGCAGAAATAAAACAGACTTATAAATAAGAATCCAGCAGTGTTTAAGTTGATGTTTGTACAAAGACCATCAAGCGCCTGCAGACAACACGCAGTGATGAGGGAGAAAAATGATTTTCTGACACCTAGGATGCTGACGTTTCCAGGTTTTTCATCTTCAATACTATTGTAGTAAAAATTCAATATAATATTGATGCCTGTTTCAAAATCACAGCACCAAAAATAGAAGTCAAACACACTGCATCATGGGTGATTTCTTGTGTTCAGTCATCAGTTTGCAGGTTCACTCCTTCATTAAAAATGAATATTTTTTTAGATAAATGAGGCCACAGTATTGAAGTTTTCTTTGCAGCCCTGGTTTAATTAACATGAAATATTGCAGTGTATGTACAGGCTGTGATACATATAAATATGTTCTGTAAACTGTTGCTGATGTTTTTTTTCCACTGCGGCAGGAACACCAGGCTGACATTTGGATTATTGCTCTCTCTGTAGACTTCTTGCACAGGAATGGCCAAAGAGCAGAAACAAAGCAGGGCAGAAACATTCGTACTGCACGGCTCAAATGGTCACAATGGCCAACAGTGGCAGACTGCTATGAATAGCTTGACCAGCCACTCTCCAGGCCAGAACCACATGTCGAGGATGGCCCGCGTTGCCTTGGACGTGAGGCACAAGTGCGCTGCCTATGTGCTCGCACTGAGGCCTTGGAGCTTCAGTGCCTCGCTCACGCCGGTGGCCCTCGGCAGCGCTCTGGCGTACAAACTGGATGGCTCTGTGGACTTGGTCGTCCTCATGGTGTGCGCGGTGGCTGTCCTCGTGGTCCACGGGGCTGGAAACCTTGTGAACACCTACTATGACTTCTCCAAAGGGATCGACCACAAGAAG